TTGAAAAATCTACCCATTATAGCAGTGAGTAACTTGTTACCTTTTAAACCGGTTAACCCATTTAATTTTTTTTGCTTGTGTGGCTTTAATGAGGTGATGTGGATGACACATCATTTTGATAACTTAACTAAAATAAAAATAAAAACATATTTCAAATTATTATTAATGATTTTCATTTTTCATTGTTGTGATTTAAAAAAACATTTAATTTTTGACTTTTTTCTTATTAAGTTGCATGCAAATTAAATATTTTATAATAAAATATTTTTAAATAAATATGATACATTATTTTCGAGATATATTTTGTTTGTAAAAAAGGTAAGGCTTCTTATTTTATGTTGTTAAAAAATACATATCTTTTAAAGTTTTCTCTAAAATGTTGACGAAATAAACTGTGATATACAATTTTTTAATATTGTTATATTAATAAATAATTCAAAAAATCTAATTGATTTAATATATTTACACGTCAAGTAAAAGTTTTTGAACAAATATAATATGTTATTTAAAAGATAATATTTTTTTTTTTGTAAAAAAAACAATTCTTAATTTTTTTTCAAAAAACACATTTAAAAAAATATTAGCGAGATAAGTTGTCTCTGTTAGTTTTATTAATATTGATATATTAATGAATAATTTAGAATTTATTTAATTTATTTAATATATTTTAAATAACATGTAAAATATCTAAATATTAAAATTAAAAGTACATTGTTTAATAAGAACCAATAGATGCTATAATTTTTTTTGAAAGTACAATAATGTAATAAAAAAGTCACATCACTATGGTATATGCGGACAATCTACATGGACAATGACATGACATGAAAACCTCGTATAATGGGTAAATTTAAATCAAAAGGTTACCAATGCTATAATGAGTAAATTTTTTAAAGTACAATGTCCTAATAAAAAATAGTTTGAAAGTATATTATTGTAAAAGAAAAATTGAAAATACTATGCTATAATAATTTTTTTTTATAAAAGTAGATTGCTATTTTGTGTATTTTATCATTTTTATAAATATATGTTTTTTTAATCAAATCATGTTTGAAACATCTATCAATCAAATTTAGTTTATAAAATTAAAAATTAATTTTAATCAGTTAATGAAGTTATTTAATTTAGTTATTAAATAATATACGTTTTTACTTAATTATTAAATAATGATTGAAAATGTTCGAATTAAATAAAATTATCATGTATTCATTGTCCATTAAATAAGTTTTAGAGCAAACTACGAGTTTGGTCTTATGCTTTGTCAAAAATAGCATTTTTTGTCCATGCAGTTTTAAAATTACAATATAATTATTGTGGTTTGTAAAAACATTTGATTTGATCATTCATTCTATCTAATGATCGTTAAAAATCCGGTTACATTAAGGGTATTTTAGTTTTTTTTTAAACTTTATAACATTTTTTGTCCCTACAATAATGCCATTTATTCAACAAAAATGTGATTAAAGTGGAAAAAATCTAAATACGCCGGTTAACGAGATTTTTTATCAGCCGTTAAAGGGAGGGACTAGCGGAAGTTTTTACAAACTATGATGGTTATATTGTAATTTCAAAACTATAGAGATAAAAAATGTTTCTTTTGACAAACCACAAGGACCAAATTTGTAGTTTACTTAAGTTTTAATAAAAAATAATAATTAATCATAATATTAGTATGCAACTTTCATAGATAGTCATAGATTTAAATCTCATTAAAGATGAGTAGAATGTTATAAATATATTTGTTACATTTGTCGTATGTATCTATAATATATTATAAAACATTTGATAAAAATTATTAAAAACCACTTTTTATACATAAAATAATTTTTATTAATGCATGTTACTTAAAACTCAAGATTATAAGTAAATTGTGCATAAGTACAACTTATTAAAGCTCCATATCTGAATTCTTGTAACTAACTGCAGATAAATATAATCAAATAAAGGATAAACAT